TGCAAGAGAAAAAGACTCTTGGGAAGAGCAAAAGCTTGCTATTTGTCGACTATGGCGAATAGATCTGGCTACAGCATCTTCTGATATAACAGGAGCAGGCACAGAACTCTCTACAGTGAGATAAGGCCCAGCACTTTTTGCGGCAGCAAGACTGGGCCCAGCATCTTCTCCAGTGTTTGAACTTTCTTTATTATTTTTTTGCACCCCCTCCATTCTGAAATGTGGGAAGGAAAAAAAAAAAAGCTCTGTTTATAACAATTCATATTTTTCAAATCTACTTTTTCAAGGAGACAGGAAGGAAGAGCAAGGTAGGGAATAAAAACATGAAAAATAAGAGCATCTCAAAACTGACTTTCCAGGCATTTTACGATAGGTTACAAATGTCAATCTGAAGATGATTACTGAAAGATTTTTTTTTAAATAATTTACCATGTGTTTATATTTTGTGAACATCTTTCCATATTTTTTAAATATAAATACTTCCACTGAATATCTGCTGAGAAATAGAAATGGTTTAGAATATAAATGATTTGTTTAATTTTTAGTTTGCAATATATACTTATATTCAGCAACTGAGCTTACAAAAGGTCTTGCATACACTTCCATAGCAGGTTTTAAAGCATTGTTCACATAAGCGCTTACACATGATTTTTATACAAATGCCTCACCACGCATAATATTCTTAACATGTGTGTTTGCAGAAATACTGCAAGAGGTGTGCTCGGTAATATTTTTTTCAGTGGAAAAAAATTAATTTATCATCAAAGATCTTCAGCATAATGACTGTCAACCCTTCTCTTAATTCTGTGCCAACACCCGGGAACACTGCAGTTCATAGGGAATGGATGTTATTCTTTAACAGGAGAAAGGAGTTTCTCTGTCCATCTCATGGTGGCCAGGGACTAGCAGGTTAATTGTCCTAGATGAGGATGTCTAAAACAGCCCAAACCAAAGTATATTCATGGCTGACTGCTAAGCAGTAGGCTGTTACACAAAGGTGGCTCCTTCCATTTTCTTTCCCGTTCTACTCCAATAACACATAAGCCTAGGAAAGATTTGGTTTCTGAATCCTAAGCCCATAATTCAGGGCTACAAAGAAGCATCTAAATCCTTTCTTGCCATGTTTTCCTGTTATGGGGCATACTCATTCACTTGCATGTGCTGACTTCCATCAATCCCATTCAGTAGATCTTAACACTCATAAGTAAGTATATACAGAAAATTAAAGTTTCATTCAGTGTGCTCAAATCTACACATGGATTGAGCAACTAATTTTAAGGCACTGTAATCATCAGTAGAGCTATACCTCAAGTTCTTACCTTGTGTCTAATTTTTCCTCTAAAAATAGCTTGTTCAGTTTCACAAGGATGTTACAATGGAGAAATATTTTATAAAATAGATATTACGATATGCCATTAAGGTCATACCTAAGATAACGGATAAAAACAAAAGCACATGTTATTCTAATCAGAGTAGTATAAGAATTAAAATAACTATCAAAAATTACCTAGTAGCTCTTGCAAAGTCTTAGGGCAGCCAACCACAGCTGTAACTAACATACTCTCTTAAGCACTATTGCCTGACTCAGGAAATCAGAAGAGGGGCTGGCACAGAAAGCAATACCTGGTGCTACGTAACTCCTTATTTTTGCCCATGATTAGCAAAACGGCCACTGTTCTATGGACTTTCTCATGCCATCACCTGTTACAGAAAATACTCATCTCTTTCTCAAAGTAAAAATACTACAAAAAAACAACTTAGGAAAGTCACGGGGGAAAAAAAGGGAAATGTAGAATCTAAATGAATTTATTCTTTTCTTTTCCTTCATGTTGATCTGACTGAGCTGGTCATCTGTAAGGTTAGCAAGGGTACTCTCCTCCTCAGCACTCAGGTGTAACAGGTTGGATGTTAATTTCCTTGCCTTTTAACTGGTCCTTTTGAAGTTGGACAGTAAAATTGGTATTTTCTCCCAAAGCTCTAGATAAGAGAGGTGGTGTTCTCATAGCTTTCTTTAAAAACAAAGACTACATTGTGTATCGCCACCCTCCCTGACTCCCCAAACATCTGTACTCAAGATATTTAGTGGCTCAGCTAAGACTTTCACACTTTTCAAAAAACAGCACAAACTCCAGCTGCCTACCTGTCCTAACAGCTGATGTGCTTTCGTATTAAAGCTTCCTTTCCACCTCCAAGATGCCCTAAACCTTTTCTACAGGACCTGCTCATGCAAGAAAAGCGAGCATGTCTTAGAAGGTAGGAGGATGAGTTGAGGGAAGTGGAAGATTCCCAACCATAGAGCATGAGGGATACTGACTTGTGGCTCTCTCCGGCAAAGCTGAGGCGCCTGAACTGGAACTACTGCTTTGGCAAAGAAATGCAGAGCCCCACCGAGCTGGCTGGAGCTATGCCTCACGACGCGGGGAGAGGCGAGCAGCCCCCCAAGGGCACAACCACCAACCGTTGCCCCCTCAGGAGGCGGGGGGCGGCGCAAGCGGCACCAACGCCCGCCCCGGGGCGAGCCCTCCGCGCTAGCCCTCACGGGGCCAGGCGTCCTGCCTCGGCCCTGGGGCTATATACCGCGGCGGAGGGAGACGGGGAGCCGTGATGAGACGGCCGTTAGGAGGAACGGGGCCTGGACGTTAGGACGGGGCCGTAACGGCCGGGCCGGCACCCCTGCTTCTTTCCCCCCCGCCTCTGCCGTGCCCGTGCGTCGCTGCGGGCCCGGCCAAAATTCGATCCCCCCCGCCAGAATCTGAACCATACTTCTGGCGTAGAGAGCGTGCTGAGCTCAGCTCAGCGACTCGATACCGTAAATGCCCTTTCCCGGGAGTTGGTTTTAGATGTACCCATGGAAGTTCCTTAAGTAACGCAGCCAGAATTCCCCACCACGAAAGCGCTTCCCGCTCAATTATCCAAAGCGTGTTATTTGCCCCCAGAGTACACAATGCTGTTTTTCACACTGAGCTTTTGAAAGAAAAGAGGATTCTTCTCTTTCAGACCTGAAATGTGGGAGTTATAGTTAGTGGGAGGTGTCCCTGTCTATGGGCAGGGGGGCTGGAACTCGATGATCTTTAAGGTCCTTTCCAACCTAAACCATTCTATGATTCTATGAAATCATTGGTTACAGTAAGTGTCACTGCGTAACCCGCAAGGGTGTCAAGAAATCTCTCCCCCCAGCGCTTGAAGAAACCGACATCTCTCCGTACTGAAACGAGCGCACGGCGGCTGCGTTTGCAGACGGGGCAGACAAGACCAGGTTCCCCAGACACCCTAAGGTGCCGCCAGTCGGAAGGATTTACAAAAAAAAACCCAAAACCAAAACAAAAAAAACACGTCATTCCAGCGGAGCTGCGGATAGAGAGGCGCACCGTCACGCCAACGCGGAGGATCCGCGCTTCAGCTGATGAACTCCACAGCCGGGGTCGGGAAGACGAGGGACAACGACTCCTTCCCCTTAGTGCTTTTTAGGAGCGAACAGGCAGCCCTTGATCTGCCCCGACACCTTCCCATTGCTCCGCGGGCAACCTCCGGGAGCCGCGGACCGCCTGGCGGGACGCTCCTGGGGCGGAGCGGGGCGAGGTACCACCTCCCGCGGGCGGTGCCACCTCCTCCGCCTCCTCCTTCTTCTCCTCCTCCTCTCCCGACATGGCGGCTTCAGCAGAGCTCATTGAACTTGCCTTCTATAAGATACATGAATAAATCCTAACCACAAAGTGTAAACAAAAATTAGGATTAAGTTTTTGTGAGACAATGCTTTATATTTTTCCTCAAAGCCTCTAGCAGATAAGTGGAATTATTTTACTCCTATATGAAATGCATGTGAACATGGAAAAATAAATACCATTTTCAAAAGTATCTAAAAAATTATTCAGGTATGACCAGGACGTGATCTTTATTGTCCATGAGTGTATCTCTTCACAAAAAAACTCCAGAGCACAGGTCTTATGAGGAGTGGCTGAGGGAACTGGGGTTGTTCAGCCTGGAGAAAAGGAGGCTGAAGGGAGACCTTCTCGCTCTCTACAGCTCCCTGAAAGGAGGGTGTAGCAAGGTGGGGGTCGGTCTCTTCTCCCAAACAACAAGAGATAGGACAAGAGGAAAAGGCCTGAAGTTATGCTAAGGCAGGTTTAGGTTGGATATTAGGAAAAATTTCTTCACCAAAAGGATTGTCAGGCATTGGAACAGGCTGTCCAGGGCAGTGGTGGAATCGCCATCCCTGGAGGTATTTAAAAGACGGGTAGACGTGGTGCTTAGGGACATGGTTTAGTGGTGGGTTTTGGCAGTGTTAGGTTGATGGTTGGACTTGAGGATCTCAAAGATCCCTTCCAACCTAGACGATTCTATGATTCTATGAAGTAGGAGAACCTTGTAATTACTTTTCAGTTGTTCTACGTTTTTTTTTTTTTTTAGATACACTTGTCAAGGCTATCCCATCATTCACTTTTCATCCACTTAGGTGTTCAGTAGCACTTGGTATATAAAGTTACCCAGTGACTTAAGGAAAATAGCCTTACAGAATTGCGGGCCAGTTTTGCTGCCAAGAGATCATCAAGCTTGACAGAAATTCAACACTTGCGCAATGAAATAATAAAAATAATGAGTTCGGAGGTTTAGCTTTATTTAAATTCTGTTTCTGCAGTGAGACCCAGTGCCAAGTATTCATGTGCCTAGTGTGCTTGCATGCTAAGTGGTTCATGTGCAGTACAGCTCCATAAAAGAACAATAAAGATAAGAATGATACCCTTTTTTTGATACCACTGATTATATATATTGACTGATACCTGTGTTGGTTTTCTTTATTTGTTTTAAACATGTTACCAGGGCATATTTATTTAACACAAATCTGTACATGTAGGATCAGGACAAAAGGTTTTATTTACACTTACTGTAGTACTCTGTTACTTCTAAACCTGCTAGTTGTAGATTCATTATTAGCTGGTATCTTTGTTACTACCATAATTAATTTCTGGTTGATGTATAAATAATAAACTTTTTTCCCCCCAGGATTTTATGTTTCAGCAGACAATGTTAAGAGTAAAGGATCCTAAGAAGTCACTAGATTTTTATACAAGAGTTCTTGGAATGACGTGAGTAGTTGTCTGCCACAATAAGTTTGTTTTTTCCTACTGTTCTTCTGAAAAGAAAAGTTTTTGCTATTTTGATGTAATTATACTAATTGGTCTAACTACATAAACAATGCTGGCCCATCAGCCCAGTTGGACAGTCTGGCAATCTCTGAGAACTCCCACAGCACAGTTAATGCCTAAGCTGCAAATGAACTAATACTGGCCTTGACTAGAAATTTCTTTTTTTTTTTTTCTTAAATAGGTCATTAATTATCAGTGTACAACTTGCTTACTTCCTCCTCACTGAGCCTGCAGCTGACTGGTAACTTTTGTGACAGTGTGTATAATTGGGAGTCGTTGCTATAAATCTTGAAATTTAAGTTTTCTACTAGTTCTCAGAGGTGACTTATGACCACCTGTGCTTATCAGAGAACAAGGCAGCGGAAGCTGGAGAGAGGGTCCAAACTCATTCTTTTGGAGGAGGCTGTTGGGAGGCAGATGCCCTGCAGTAGCCTAACGTGTTTATGCTTTTTGCAGACTCTGGACATTTGAAACAAGTTATTCCAAAACAAAATTCTAGCATATTTTTAAACATCTTGAAATAAGTCCAGACTAAAATAAAATAAACTACTTCCATTTTGGTGAAGATGTGCGTGTGAGAAGATAAAAATAAAATACCTAGTAAGCTGAAAAAGAAATTAGATTCATTTTGCATGCCTACTTCTTTCTGGTTAAACGTCCTACATAAAAATGGTTTGAAGTATGCCACACCATCTCTAGACATTAGGTGAAAATAGAGATCTATCAAATATTTCACAGGAAAGTGGGTGACTTCTTGCACCTAGCAAAGGGATGCATTTTATAAGCAGCTTTTTCTGAGCTCAAGTATTTTTAATTGATTAAATTGTCACATCTGAAATGGATTTTATCATTATACCTAGCTATTGAAAGTGTAAAAAATATTTCTTCTAAAGGTATGTTTGTTTTGTAATCCTGCTGTGTCCTTAAACTTTGTCTGGTGTCAGTGAGCTCCCCAGAACAAATAAGTTTCAAAATAAATCTTTTTATTCCTTGGTGATACTTTAAAGTGGATAAACATAAAGATCTTCCTGAGGAAATACGGACAAGTAACAGTGAGAACCTCAAGACATGAGCCTTTGTACTGGCTTTGCTATTCAGTTACTGACAGTTTGGCTTTTGAGTATTGATTCTTCTAACTTTTGTAGGTTTTTAATATGTTCTGTAGTGTTGATATTTGATAGTTCAAAAGGTAGCTATTCTAAGACATGGATTACAGTCAGAAAGGCAAAAAAAATACAACAAGAATTCTGACATGGGGGAAGCATCTTGGTTTATTTGCATGCTACCTGATTACCTTTTTAAGTTACTATTTCAAAATAATTGTTGCCATTTAGACTGCTTCAAAAATTTGACTTTCCTACTATGAAGTTCTCGCTCTATTTCCTGGCGTATGAAGATAAAAATGATATCCCGAAAGATAAAACTGAGAGAACAGCTTGGACCTTCTCCAGAAAAGCTACACTTGAACTGACACAGTAAGTGTTAATATAATGAGAGATGACATTTAGCAAACAGTGATTAAACAGAAGTGAATGAATGTGAATCCTGTTGGACTGAATAAAAAATGTAACTTACTGTGGAAACATCTTCACTGTCATATAGCTTTAAAATATGGCTGAGATCTTGGTTACTTGGCAAGCTTAATCTTTCTCATTTCAGAGCTCTTTCAAACTGCTAGGTGAACAGTGGTACATAAATATGAAATAATGCTTGCTGTATTTTGAGTATGCATGCCATCTGGGTAGAAAAGCCACAGAATTTAGGAAAACTCAATGTGATTAGAACTTTATTTGGATCCCCAGAGCATCCTAATAATGGGTAACTATTGCTTTTGCAGTCTAACTGAAAGAGGTATTAAGTGAAAGCATACACTTCCCATAAATGGGACAATTTGGTTAATGCTACTAATAATTTTAATTGTGCAGAAAGAGTCTCCCAAATACCCCACTGTCTTGCTTACCTTGAGTACCTGCTACCCTCACTGTTTGTTCCCTAGTGATGGGTAGATAAACTGACTCATGCAGCACAACCTTCTCTGTAATCTGAATGAGACAGGAGTGTCTCTGATTTACTCAAATGTAGAACCTCAATGCTAGTGAAGTGCTGTCAACGTGACTGGATTAGCCCCAAGACTATTCCTAGGACCTGTGGCTAGGGAAAATCTTGATAACTTTATGAACGCAGCCAACAGTTGAAATTCTTTGGTTTCTTAGGAGAAGCAACTTATCCTCCTGAGGAAACTGAACAGTTAGGATTTGTTAATTTTGATGCTTTTCTTTAATATGTAATAATTACTTCTTACAGCAACTGGGGCACTGAAAATGATGAAAATCAGTCTTACCACAATGGCAATTCAGATCCCCGAGGATTTGGTAGGTCTTTAGTTTTGTGTTTGTAGTTTTTGGTTTATTGCGATTACATTTTTTTCTCTTGTGTATTGGGGGGAAAAAAGTGGTTTTGAATGTTTTTTAGAAAACATCTATATAAATCCTGTGCAAAGGTTATTGGGTAAGTACATGCTGCAGGCTTTATTTTTATGAGAGCTAGTAGAGAATATATTTTAAACTTGTATGGATGAAAAGACTTGTCTAGTAGGTTACTCTGAAGAAAATGTACTAGCACTAGGAAAGAATGGAACTTGCATCTCATCCTTTATCTCTCTTCTTCCAGCATGTACGTTGTGAAAGATAGTGAAAGTATGTAAACAAATGTGTTTCAGAGTAATAAGCCACAGTTACACTTTTTATAAAGAATCTAATCCTTTGGCAAGCAAACATGCTAATAGTAACTACTGAATGAAGAACCATAATTGCTCTTGTGTATCAGATTATCATGGTGTTTAGACTGATTTACATTTGGATTTCTATTTTATAATCCACTGGTTACCCATTTTAAGCTAGAAGGAGAATTCTGTTTGTCTGTAGCGCTAAGGATTGTATTTGTGTGGCTCAGTTTGATATTCTGAGTGCTTGAAAGGTCATTGGCTTGTGAAATGTTTCATAGTCAGTCTAGCCACTTGACATTTAAAGCTTCTCAATTGATTTGTAAGCTCAGGCCTTGCATAGTGCTAGTGTTAGTCTCTACAAATAGAGCGTTAATGATAAACTCCTTGTACTGTTGAACTAAGCAAATGCAACAAAATGTTGCATGTGGACATGCTTCAAAAAGGAAATACAGATAAAACAGTTTGAAAATCTTTTTTTTCCTACTCTAGATAATATTCTCATCTAAACAGTATAAGATACTTTAAAGTTCATATTTTAAAAAGGCATTATCAAAAAGCCAACTTTCCAAAGGAGAATAATGTTAATACCCAAAAAGCTCTTCTTTCTGGAAGCAATGTTTTTCTCCTATACAATCATATCTTATGTGAACTACAGCATGTAAACTTTTTGCACAAGATGAAATGCTGAGCAAACCTTTCCCTAGAACACCCAGCAATACTTACAGTGTACTTCACTCTTTTTTCCTTGTTGCACAGGGCACATTGGAATTGCTGTCCCTGATGTCAATAAAGCTTGTAAGAGGTTTGAAGAACTAGGAGTGAAATTTGTGAAGAAACCAGATGATGGTAAGTCTTGATCAGAAATGCAAATAATTTTTTTTTCCCTTGTCTTTAATATATTTTGCCTAATAGATCTCCCTGGATAGCTGGGTAATACATTTCTAGTAGTTGTCACTGCTTAGAAGGTGCTAAAACCAGTTACTGCTGCACCTTCTTACACAGTGGACAAAACTGACAATAGACCCATCTTGATAACAACGGTTAATCAGTCTAGCTACGTGCCTTCTGTGTGTGGTTTGATCTTTGCTAAAATTCACATGCTCGGTTGTCATAGTTTACTATGTATACTACTGCTTAGAGTTACTACAGAATTTACTTTAACATGGATCAAATTCCCACATTTCGTATCTGTTTGGTTTTAATCATACGAAAACAAGATGACTCGGAAGACGTAATTATTCCCACCCATGAAAACTGAGTAATTCTTGAGTTTTCTGGCTATTTTTACTTAAATCCACCTAACGCCACCTACTGGTTATTATCATGTTACCTGTTCTGTCAGCTTTGGTAGAAATAGCCTCATTAGTCTATATAATATTTGATTTGTATAACTTTTAGTAAAACATGAATAATGTATAGCTCAAATGTCTAGAGAGTACATAAACAAAGAACATCTATGTCAAAATAGCCTGAAATGCAGAAATTGGTGAGAAGTCTTGCATTTTTCCACTGGATTCTCTCATGAAGGACTTCATGAGAGTTCTAGGACCGATATGTTCCAAAATGGACATCTAATACTCAGCAGCAGGCACAAATATGTGATGCTTCTTACTTCTGGCTATAGAAATTAGACTGTTGCCTGTACTAACAGGGATTTTTTTTTTTTTTAATTTGAAAGTAACATTAGTAGATGAAGCTTCAGTTTACACATACTGGAATTGATCTTCTGGATTCCTTGCTAGAGGAATAAGAACATGTAATTGAAAAGAGACAAGTGAATTTAGAGGATAAAAACTGACAGGGACATATGCAGAAAACTTATTTTAATCAACAAAAGATAGAATTTCAGAGTGACTTTAAGCTACAGCTTTGTTGAGAGCAAGATTGGCAATTTACCATACAAAGATCGAATCCTGATTAAAAACTAATCTGGATGTTTTCAGAATGACCTGTCTAAATTTGAACTAATTATCATGCAAAAGGAAAAAAAGGAAAAATAGTTTTCAAAGTAGTCATACTTGACATTAAGAACTAGTCATGTAGTCCTAACTTTATCTTGTATTTTTTTTCTAATAGGTAAAATGAAAGGACTTGCATTTGTTCAGGATCCTGATGGCTACTGGATTGAAATTTTGAATCCTAACCATATGGTGACTCTCACTTAGTTCTAATGAAGTCTATTATATAGGAGATGCATACTTGCAGTCCCCTGGAGAAAATCTGTAACAGTGTTAGTGAAATTCTCACTTAATGGAGAGGAATCAGTCATGTTCAGTCGCCTTTAAAACTGTCCCCTGGAACCTCAATGTACTGAATTCCTTTTTGTTGTCCTGTAATGCCACTGCAATTTGCTTCCAATTAGGAATACTCAACCATCTTTTGGAAGAGCGCGTACACAGATCCTCCTCTAGAACACCGATTATGTTAATATTTCAATAAACACTCTCAAAAGATATGTGACTAGAAATTCACTGCATCTCACACTGTTTAGATTTAAACTAACAACAACAACAAAATCCTGTGTATACTACTGTTGATTTTCAACACCGAGGAAAAAAAAAACAAACTTCAGAATATTTTTTTATGAGCTCAAAAGATCCTGAAGGCTTCATGCCCTATCTTGTATACTAGAAAATAAAATGTCAAACTAACGTTGAATTGAGTAGTACCATGTTTATGAAAGTCCTACTATTATGCTAAGCGAAACTCGTTAAGGAGCAGCCTTAAACAGCCTTGCCTGCAACAAGAATCTTTGTGGAAGCAATAAATCAGTCCAGCAGAAAGAATTCAGTCTTTCAGCTTCTGGCTGCTGGTTGACAGCCAAGATAAGAGGTCTCAGTTGCTAACTCACAGTGATCCTTATTGTCTCTTCCAACACTAGAAAGAACTTGCTTCTAATTTTTGTTTCAATGAAAGTCTGGGGCTATATTTAATGTAATGCTCTGAATGTTTTGCATTAGGAATTTAATGAAAAAGATTATCTAAAACAACAGCTTCCTACTAGTAGGCATTTTGATCTGCCCTCTCAAAATGAGTGATAGTTATTGAAATGACACCTGTAAAAAGCAGGAAAACATGTAACATTTACATATGTTACACAAATCACTTTATTTTTATGCCATTCTGCCTGTTACAAACAGTGCAAAACATGCCAAGTTTTGAAACCCTGTTTTTCCTTCCAACAAGGAAAAAGCCCTCTGCCCTCTTTGTGGTTCAAGTAACACTTAACTCCTACTAAGTCTTCAGTTACGTGACTATTGGATAGTCTATCGGCATTGCAATTCACTTCCAAATAAAGCATTGGTGCAAACTACAAAATAATTTTAAAGCAGTATGACTGTTGCTTTGCTAATTGTTGAATCCTAGGTAACTGGAAGGCCATTTGCTTTGGTTTGTGGATCCTTGAGAAGAAATCTGGTGATAAAAGAATGAATAGGGAGTACAGTAGTGAAGAAGACTACTGTGACTTGATTAGCAGGGTGTTTTAGTAACAATGATAATGTGTACAGTTAATAATAACTGTCAAGAACTCCCTGTCTTATATGTTAAAACAGAAATGTAGAAAGTCTGAAAAATCCTTAATTCTGTCTGCCTTATCTTAACAATAGCATATATAAACTCAGTAATTTTACAGAGCTCTACATGAACAGTCATTCATAAAACTTAATCCAAGATGTTTTGTTTACCCCTGGAAATAAGTAAAATGGATTATATGCTTCATCTGACCCTTAGGTGTTGGAAAAAGGAACGTAAGAACTATTGCTCTGCTTAATACCCCCTACAAATGTGCAAGCAATCATAAACTCATTGGAAGGTAGGCATAGTAACTCAGAAGATAATCTTTTCTGCAGTTTTCTATTTTTTATATGAAGCAACCATGATATTTTAAATTGTCACTTTTATGGTATTTTCTGGCTGCTCTCTACAGTGTCTGCTTTAGGTGGTGCCTTATCAGTGTCATTCATATACAATAGCTTCTTTCCTTTCTTGAATATTTGCCAAATTGCCTTTTTCTGCAAGAATAAACACTGTTGGTCCATGGTTGCATTCTCTACTTCTGCCCTCCTATACTTGCAGAACTAATACCTACCCAGTTCCCTGTCTTGTTCCTTGTGTGCTTGATGATTCTCCTGTATGTTAGATCATTTTGATAGGGACAGTACAGTTAGTCCTGTTTGGAGTGAGACCTCCTAGTAAATAAGCTGTCTTAGTAGCTGTCACCACATGATCTCACAGTCTTCTTCCTCCCAGATGTTGGGCTTTTGACATTGCACCCCCTGCTCCCAACAGGCTAATTCCGCTTAATAAAGTGGCAAAGATTTTCTTGAATACTGGGTTAGTTTTATACCAAGTTTATTAAGCAGAAATGAGGAGTCAGTTCAAGACTCCCTTAGTTTCCTGAATGAGTAAATAAAGCTGTTCCTTTTAGCAGAAAGTTAGGTTGGCTTAGCTGACTCATGAAACCTCACCTTACTTTAAAAAAAGGTACCCTATTGTAGAGCAATTTTAAACAATATTACAGCAGCAATTAAGAGAACTCTTAATTTGAAGACCACTGTAGTGTAACTTTAGTACACAGTCTTCTGAAGTGAATAGGATGAGAATAGTGTCAAGAGGCATGAGAGCTACAGCAGTGAGAATGCACTCAGTTGATTGCAGCTTACATAGGTTTTGGTGGCTAAACAGTGTTTTTCATATACATCCCTTCTGCCGCTGCTGTTCTGAAATAGGAACTTACAATGAAGTAAAAAACTGAAGCACAAGTGCTAACTGCAGTTCCTTACCGTTCAGAATCTCACCTTAGATCGTGAGTAAAAAAATTTTGACTAGTAGTAGTATAAGTGAAGTTGTCAAAAAGTAAGTTTATTTCAGTCAATAGAGATATGTCATCTAAAGCTTTATGACCAAGGTGGTGGCAAGCAAAATCTCAAAATTTCACAAGCATGGAACTTGGTGGTTCATATTTTATCAACATAGTGTTTCATTTAGACTTGTTTCCCTATGCTTCAAAGTACAGGTGTGACTGGAAAACCTATTGACCTAATTGGATGGAATCTAGTAATTAAAACCAGGATAGTCCATAAATCAGATGAGTAAGTCAAAGGGTGTGCTTAGGTAGTTCAGTGGTAACTACACAAGGAGGAGCAGGCTGTGTTGCAGCTTCTCTGCTTAATACTGAAATAAGAGTTACTCTAAGCATGTTTGCTAGTCTTGGAATGATGCTTGTGGTTTTTTATGTGCCTGAGAAAGTGTAGATACTATGACAGATGATGAGGTAATAGGAAACTAGTAAAAAAACCACTGGCATCTACAAACTAGTTACAGCAATAGAATGAAATGGGTCTTTTAGCCTGCAAAAGATGTTAAATTTTAGATGTAAAAATTTGAAATTATTTAATGTTCTCACTGATTACAGACAATGTTGTTTTTACTTCTTCCAAGGTAACACTTCTGCTAAATAAATCATGGAATTAAAAATAGCATGGAGTGCTTTGCCACTTGGAGGGCCTAAGTTCAGCATAATGCAGTACAGTATTAATCAATCTAATGGTCATATACAGACAGGCCCGCATGCTCCTCACAGAGAGGAAGGGAGGCAGTGTAATGGTGTGCTTGCCGGTCTCTTGCCATTCCGTGTGTGTTCCGCTCTCCTGAGCGAGCGGCAAGCACACCGTTAAACAAAGCAAACGTGTATTTTCAACATCGCCGAGTACCAGCAGAGGAGAACAGCGGGGAAGGTTAAACATCAGTTGCCATTTTATAAGGGCTGGGCCTTTAAACCTCCCTGTTCTCTGAGCGAGTGCCCGGTTTCTGACAAGCACTGGCACCGGCTGGCAGGTTGGCTGTTGCCCGCAAGCGGGAGGATGCAGCCATGGAGGTCCCACGCAGCCCTACCCGGGACACCGCTATTCTCATACCAGCAGCTCCACCGGCGCTGCAGCGGTTCCGGCCTCTCCCCACTCACCGA